AACCAGAAAGTAATTACACAGTATTTTCTCTTTTTCCTGATTATAAATGATTTTGTTCATTGTAGAAAATTTGTAAAATAGAAAAAGTATAAAGAAAATTTAAATCACCAAAGATGTCAATTAATATTTGGTGTATGTGTCCTCCTAGTGTTGTTCTTTTATAATATTTTTATTTATTCCCAAGTGGAAGGAAGAGGGAAGAGATAGAAACATCAATAATGAGAGAGAATCATTGATTGGCTGCCTCCTGCACACCCCCTACTGGGAATCAAGCCCACAACTCGAATGTAACTGGGACCCTTCAGTCTGCAGGCAACAACACTCTATCCACAGAACCAAACCGGCGAGGTCCAGGCTACAGATTCTGGACTAAACATCAAAATGAGCACTGTCCTTTCAAAGGTCTCGTAAAGGAAAGCTTTACACTAATTCTAATAATGCTCCCATTATGAAATCCAATCTCTGGAGTCTGAAGCAAACTCTTGAAAATTCTCAAAAGAATGTTTAGAATCAAGTCAAAATATCATTTAGAGCCAAGTGTGGGGAATTATGAGAGCAATGAAACAAGACTTTATGGTGAAGAAAAAGATGATTTATCTTATGTGTAGTTCATAGCCAGCTCTAAAAATAATTCCTAAGCAAGATTACCAAAAATGTTTTGCAAGGTGGCAGCAGAAGGAGGCCTGTAAGTGCTACCACAGTGACTAATCTTAAGAGATTTCCCATCATTCATTTGCTGTGGACAATTTGGGGCATATTTCCTAAAACAAAGTTTCACCATTTGACTCACACATTTATTCCCTTCCAGCTTCTCTAATTTTTTACAATTCCCTCTTCTTTTTCTCTTACAACCACCACCACCACCAAATTATGCCTTCTACACACAGAGAGAAATCAGTATCTGTCTTATTTATCTTAGTTTTGATGATAATATTCAGTTAGACAGCTGTCAGAGATTACTCAAATAATTTTTTCAGTTCCCCAAAATTAGGCGCTGGGATAAAAAGGAGCAACGCACTCTGACTCAAGAAACTCAGTTCCACGCATATAGCATTGGTATAGCTCTACCCTATCCTAGGGAAACGGGGGTCCAGAGACAGGGTGCCATCTTCCCAAGATCACCTAGCAGAGAGAGACCCCACTAGAACCCTCTTCATGAACCATCCTTCCTCTCACTAATTTGGTATTTTATTTTCTGTAACACTAAACTTAGATTTTTATTTAATAATTTTCTTACTCTCTCTTTTAAAAAAACAATTTATATTATAGGCATTAGCCATCTGCTCTCTCAGGAGAGTAGCCCAGGTATCAGGTAGCCAGACAGATCTTGTGGTTTTGGCACTCATTTCTTGCCACTGCTCTGTACATCAGCTGCAAATGATTCCTTAAACTGGAATCTGGGATTTCTGCCGGGGTATCTTGTTACCGAGTAAATTCAGGGGAGCATACATTAACAGATAAATATTTCTTTTCATTTATAATGGGAAAACAGAAAACTATCATAAGAAAGAATCATTTCTACTATTAAAATCCCACTTACCTCTTACCCACCTGCATCACTGGAGATTAAACTATTATGGATAAACATTCTCAGGGCTTTTGAAATACAAGCCCTACAATTATTGTTTACCACTGAGGGACCAAAGTCACGACTCTGTAGTATTTGTTCAGCCTAATCCCTCTTTCACCGATTAGAAACAATAAAAAGTCACAGAATTCCCCTCCATGCCCTTCACTCTACAGTGATGTTTGTAAACAGACCCACTGAATACCCAAGGTCCGTAAGTACAGACTGAACCCCTCATGGTCCCCCAGGCATCTAGAATGCAGAGCACAGGTGACAGCCCGGCATGGGTGGGGTTTTGGGGTGAATTAAACTGACACTGCTACCCTCCCATGTGAGACAGTGACAACTTCCTTTGAAAAACAAAACAACGTTATCAGGCTTCTTTTTTCCCCCCTTAAAACCAAATCTTATTATCTACCTAGTGCTCCCAAGTCCAAGGTACAGTGCTGAGCATAATGCCTAGACCCGTGGTCGGCAAACTGCAGCTCGTGAGCCACATGTGGCTCTTTGGCCCCTTGAGTGTGGCTCTTCCACAAAATACTCCTGGGGGAGTCTATTTTGAAGAAGTGGCGTTAGAAGAAGTTTAAAAAAATTGGCTCTCAAAAGAAATTTCAACCATGGTATTGCTGATATTTGGCTCTGTTGATTAATGAGTTTGCCGACCACTGGCCTAGACCATCTAATGAAAATAAAGTATTTTGCAACCAGGCTTTCTGGCATACCAGATAAATAAAAAGTGAAGTTAATCTCACAGAGCCGAGATAGGTGGGGAGAATCAACTTTTAAAATCTGTCACATTTGGCATAAGGCACTGACCCACAGTTTCTCCTTTCATGGTGATAATAAGGGGACATTATCAAATTATATAGATAGACCCAAATAGTAGTTCTCCACAGCTGTAAGCCCGGCTCTAACAGGGACTGAGGGTAACTCGAGTAGGCAGCTGAAGTTTTATCCACATCCCTTTTCTTGAGTCACAGCCAGACTTTCAGGTCTAGGAAATGTAAGACAAGACAACATAGGAGAGGTTATAAAGTGAGCAAACTGATGTGGATGGAGGCATCTAGAATGCATAGCCAATTGTAAACACTCCTAACCACTTCATTTCCTGGACCATTTTGTTATGTCTTTAATGCATATAACAGAAACTCTGACTTCCCTAGAAGTTTGACCTTTACAATCAATACAATGATACCTGGGGATTTCCTCTAAGATAGAGCTAAGTATATACAACCAGATCCAGTGTTTCTCAACCATTTTCATCAGATCTCTCAAGAAAACAAGTTTCCAGCTCTATTCATAACCAACACTTCTGACACTAGATGTGTGGGTTTTCCTCACCAAGCAATTCTACAGTTCTCGGGGGACACCAACCGGGTGTCCTATCATTTAACCCAGAGTTAGTGCAGGCCCCCCAGGTTAGGACAAGGTCCCACAAAGCTGCCCTCTCCCTTCAGACACCAACTGCAAGCCTCGGGTTCTCACCTGTACTTGTTACCTCTAGTCTGTCTCATTAAAATCTTACTCATGCCAGAACTCCTACGCTGATGGGGTTCTACAGGGATGAACTCACCTAGCTCTGCCAATCATTTCCCTTGCAGCCTGGGTAAATTATTTAACCACTGTGCTCCTTCCTCTACCCAGCCAATAATGTAAATCAGCATACTGTAATGGAAAAACACACAGCACTCCTGGTCAGGAGACCTGCCCTCGGGTACCACCTTAGCTACTGATTCACTTTGAGAATATAGGCAAGTCACCTCTCCTTCCTGAGGCCTCATTTCCCATCTGTAAAAGGAAGGTGTCATACCAGATGCATGCACGGAGATTCTGCACTCTGAAGGCCTGCACCTAGCTAGTTCACATACACTAGCATACAAACAAAACAATGCCCCTTATTAAATTCTATAAAATTCAACATGTAATTCAAAGAACAGCCGGTATAAGACTTAATAGAAAAAACGCTGCATAGAAAAATACTGGGAAGGAAAACATGATTGCTCTCCAAGGTGAGTCTTTAAAGTTTGGGCCACATTCTCTGCCTAAGTTGAATTAAATGTAAGTGTCATTCATGAGAACTATTGCAGCCCCTCTGTGAGCCATATCGATTTCCTAACTGGATCATCTTTTAGCGTAATGTACTCCATAAATTACCTCCTTCTATGTTCAATAATGCCTTCACTTTATTTTTTAAGCTTTAGGGATTGTCCCTAAGTAATAGCAGTCTAGGATTTGGAAAATCAAGTCCATATTTACCGTATTCATACCATAACTACAGATTCCAACTAAATCCCTCTGAGCTTTGGTTTTTCTAAACTTAACCTGCACAGATAATCTATTTCTCCCATCTCATTGTCCTCTTCTGCCATGTATTCCCACAGCCATTCCATAAGGCCTTATTATTACCAATAGCTACAACCCCTTCATAACCTCAATTTCATGCATTCTACACTCTGACCATCACCCACCTTTCCAGCTGAGTCCCTCCCTCTAGTATCTCCACCCAACTGTCCTTCAACTCCACTAGATCCTGAAACTAACACCTTTTCACTGAACCTTTCCCCACTGATTTTCTCTCGCCCCTTCTTACCCAGCTGAAATTCCACGGTCAGTCATTATAATTACTCTCTGTCGTTCACTGTCTAATCCCTTGCCTCTCTCTTGCTGTGATACCCACATGGCTGAAAAGAGCTGGGGAAGACACAGACACATACACACACCCAGGCTGCTGCCTGGCTTCACCTCCAATTTATCATACCAAATTTCCAGTGGGCCCTTTCATGCTGTCTCATAATCTTAATTTATACCCCTATGTCCAGGCCTCACCCCATACCAATTAATTCAGCATCTCTGGGAGAGAGGCTTAGGCATCAGTATTTTTTAAAAGTTCCGCAGGTGATTCCAGTGTGAAAACAAGTTTGAGAACTGATGAGTTCTATGACCTTAGGAAAATTACTTGACCTCTTTAAACCCAACTCATATGGATATTGTGAATAAGATAATGTTGTTGTTTTTTAATTGTTGAAAGTATTACAGATGTCCCCTATTTCCCCCTCCACCCAGTCCCTGCCCCACCTCAGGCCCTCACTACACTATTGTCTGTGTCCAGACTAGAGACCCAGTGCATGAATTCGTGCACGGGTGGGGTTCCTCGGCATGGCCAGTGATTGGGGCCATCTTGCCCAGTCCTGATCAGGGCCAATGGGGGCCAGCTGGCTGGGGAGGGACCACAGGAGATTGGCCGGCTCGGGAGAGACTGTGGGAGGGCTATAGGTGCGTCCGGCACATCTCACCCAGTCCCGATTAACCAGACATCAGTCAAGCTGTCTAGGCAAGCTAACCTACCAGTCAGAGCTTCTGCCTTCTGGTGGTCAGTGCATGTCATAGAAATAGGAGGAAAACGCCTCAGGACATTTAGTCCCAAGTTACTTACCATTCTTCATCACTACGTTGGACCAGACATTGGCATTCAAGGCTTGAACAATTCGCTTTACTCCTGTAGATTCTGGGAAGTCATCTAATCAGTGAGGAAAAGAGCATATATATTTACACAGGTACTTATACATACATATATGTGTATCATATTTATATATACCATAAGCCACATTTTTAAACAACCGTGACTTAATTATTTTTGCTTATTAGTTGTTACTTCTTCACAATGCAACCTGTATGAGAAAAAGTTTAAGCAAATACCGAGCTTAGAGCTCCCATTAAGAATATTCTAGAAACTAAAACAATGAGAAAACACATAGTATAGAGGCTTATAACATCATCCCCACTACCTCACCAATGGCACCTACTTATATTCTCCTGAAAATGTTAGTGTCCATTAATTACACAATCCTGGGAGAGTTCAAGAGTACTACCAATCTTGGTAATTTATAGAGAATAATTTTGCTGAAGGTAGGAATGGTCCTCTTATTATGCTGGAAAAAAAAAATCCCTTTCTTCTCCTAGGAATCATGAAATAATTTCTGTTTAAAACAGATATCTACAGAACAAATTCTTGATCAGAGAAAGATAGTTTAAGAGAAAGAAGTTACTATAACCAGAGTGTAAGAGACAGGAAAAGTGTCATTAAAAATATCCAACGACTTAATTTAGTATTGATATTAACCTGCTTCTGGAATTTAATTGATACTACTCTAAACAACAAGGCACTCAGCCCAGTTAGTGTACCAATGGTAAGCGGTATTCTCAGTTACACTGCAGATATGAATGTGTATAAAGGAAACGGAGACCCTTCAGACAGTGAGAACTGTAAGACTGCATATGGCTGAAAGAAGAGTCTCCTGTGGGTGTATTAGCGCAGTCCACGTAGAATCTGTCTCCAGTGGAAGATCACAGAATTAGAAGTCAGAAGATCTGATTCTGAACCCAGGCTCCGCAACTTATTAGCTATTTGATCAAGGGCACATATCACTATTCTCGGAAAAGTGGGGATGACACACTCAGGGCACACCTTTCCTGGAGGAAAGCTGCAGTGGGACTGGTGATTTGCTAGTGTAACCTCCTCCACCCTCGATGCTCACTAAAGACAGGAATCATGTCTTATTGAATTCATTATTCCCACTGTCTAACACAGTGCCTGAATGACAGCAGGCACTTAGTAACTACTGGATTGATGAATCATTTAAAGAATACCACCCTAGCAATCTAACAGAAATAGGGTAAGGAGTAAACCAAAAATACTCTACAAAAATGACTTTATCACCATCGATGTTTAAATGAAGAAATAAAACACATGTTTATCTTAATTATGAATGAATGATTCAATTCTTGAAATAACTAATACTTCAGATGATATAACCAGGGATTAAAAATAAGGCCTGAAGTAAAGAGTCAATAAGATGAAATTTAATACAAACAAGGATAAATTCTCATATTGATATTCAAATTAATACATGCAAATAAAGGATGAGGGCATATGGCTTGAGAACTGTTTGCATTTAAAGCTTATAGGGAGGTTTTAGTTACATTATCTAAAGATGACATGTCAAAATCTATTTTAAGATTAAACAGAATTAATATAAGAACAATGTTCTGACAAGAAGCAAGAAGTGTAGGGGTATAAAGGAGCAGAGATTCCGAAATGAAAACAGATGTAAATAAATAACTCAAATATATGACTCTCAAGGACAATAAGAAGAAGAGAAAATTCTAGTACCAAAAATAAGTGACTACACACATGTTCACATACACAAAAATAGGACACAAGTTTCAGGGGACTTAGAAAAACCTGGAAGGAGAAATTGCACTTGTTAATTTTCAATATTCGTAAAAATGTACAGGGAGAATAATCCGCCTTTTTATTTCATTTTTGTGTTCTTCTTCCCTGGCAAGGTTTTATTCCTAAAGGTAACGTTTTGAAAAAAAATTCTAAATAAGCCATAATATAGAAGAACATTTAAAAAATATGTTTCATGTAAGGATTACTTATATCCTATCTACATAATTTAATTCGTACTGGATGCCGCTGCCTAGAAAGTCTTTTGGAACAACTGGCATTTCTCAAAGCCACTTCCCCACCCGTCCTCTACATACAATCCAGGGTATTTTCCATCTCTCCCCCAGGGACCAGGTGACTTGTGAGAGTTCATGGTGCCAATTATTCTTTAAAACAATCTCTTCTGTCTCCGAAATACCACAGTACCAATATTTTTAAATCAAACTTACGATGTCCCACTTAGTAATTATTTACATATATGTCTTATTTCTTGTACTAGATTATGTGGTTTTGATGGCTCAAAAGCCATCTTATCTTGGTAGATCCCATAGTAGCCAGCACAGGTATACTTGGAAGGAGCAAAGATGAGAAAAGAAATGGGGGAGGGGAAATGAAGTGGAGGAAGAAACAGAAGAAGGTCCAGACTTTAGCAGAAAGCAGTAAAACAGAAAACTACCCTAGAGGGCATTCTGAGTCTATTTTTTATTTCAAATGTGCAAAAGACATACAAATAGGACTGGCATACCCCCTATGGTTCTTGGGGATTCAGCCTCAGATTAGTAGGAATTCAAAATAGGCAACTTTACCTATTTATGAATATAAATCAAACTCTCCTTTTTTGGATGTGAAGAAAGGATAAAAGATTAGGAAAATGACTAAGATTTAAGGGAAAATCTTCTACCTTTATGCATAAGAAAAATAACATTTCAGAAGTTCTAAAATTGATCAATGAATTATTTATTAATGATAAGACCACTTTGAAGGATTTTGCACAAATCTTTTTAAGCAGCTGGGGGAAAAAAGGTTTTTTGAATTTCACTGTGATTGTTTCGAGATTTAAATAATCTCATATCTCAACCCACGTACCATGTTTTCTCGCAACATAAACACTTACCATCCTCCTCAGGCAACTCTTCCGGACTAAGTTCTACCAGTTCAAAGCCATGTTTTATGCACCATTCTTGAGCTTTTTGTCGGTTTACACCTACAATGATAATTTTTTAAATTATTAAAAAATATTTATAAATAAAAGTAAAATATGAGCCTGGTTGGTTGAGTGTCATCCTGATACACCAAGGTTGCAGTTTGATCCCGGATCAAGGCACATACAAGAATCAACCAATAAATACATAAATAAGTGGAACAAAATCAATTTTTCTCTCATTCTAAAATAAATAAACCTTAAAGATTTTAAATTAAAATAAAATATGAATATTGCTGCAATAGTATTCATAAATTTAAATGTGTTTCCATTAATGTCAATATTATTCTGTAGGAACGACAATATAAAGAAAATTACTTCTCAAATTATTTCTCAAAAGCGTCCTTTAGAAAAATAAGAAAAAAAGTAAATATTCCAAGATTCCAAAGAGATATAGCTAAAATATAGCTAAAAATGAGCTAAAAAATGAGTATATTTTATTGGTCAACTACTACCAAGCTGAACTCTAAAAGGCTAAACCAAAATACATTCCCAACAATAGAGTCCTAGAGAACCCAGTTCTACACATTTCTCCTCAACACTGAATTCTTTAATTATTTCACCTCCTATCTACCTACTCCAGGGCTTCTGTGAGAATCAAATACATATATATATATATATATATATACGTGTGTGTGTGTGTGTGTGTGTGTGTGTGTGTGTGTATAATAGTCACATGAGATACACTATTCTATTATAAGTTAAGGAAACAAACAGACTCTGTTTACCAAGAAATGGCAAATGTATGTACAAACTACCATCCATCCCATCAAAGTGCTTACCATTCTCAGACACTCTATCACAGACCAAGATCATCACTTCAGGTAACCACGCTTCTGCCAGGGGAAGCCATGAGGAGACACTATCAAGACCAGATTTCTAGAGAGAGGAAAAAAAAACAAAAGCAGAAATACAGACATGAAGAGAACTCACAAAAAAAGCAGGAGGGGATGGGGAGAAGGGGGAAGAACAAGATAAAAGTCTTATTCAAAATTCCATGGAAAAGAAAATCTTACTTGTGTGCTGTCAAAGTAAACCACAAATGCTTGGACAGACTCTGCAATCTCTGCAGTGACAAGAAACTTGTTCGGCACTACACACAGATTGATGTCAGCTGAATAGTACTTATTATCAATGGTCCAAGGATAAAATCTCACGGCATCATTCGCAGTGGCTTCCACAAGATGATCTTCTGTTCCAAGGATGTCTAAATAAATGACACAACATCACCATGGGAAGTGTAAAACTAATGTACATAGGTAACGTACATCCCTCAATAGGATACCAGAATAACATGGCTGCTTCCCTTCACACAAAGATTTCAAAGGGCCTCACACTTATTAGGGTATTTTCTCCTCTGATCATCTGTACTAATAAAAGGCTAATATGCTAATTAGACTGGATGTCTTCTGGACCACTTTCTGACATCCCCACTGACAAAGCCATGCCCTGGTGAAGCTGCCCCGCCCCTGGTCCCAGTCCCTGGTGCCTATACCTTGGGGGAAGCCACCCACGGTTCCAGTTCCCAGTGCCTGCTGCTGCGGCTGCAGCCCAGGCAAAGCCGCCTGGGTCCTGGATTGCGAGAGGCATGTCCAACTGCCAGTTTCGGCGCAATCCTTGTGGGACCTAAACTGGCAGTCAGACATCCCCTGAATGTCCCGGATTGGCAAGGGTGCAGGCCAGGCTGAGGGATCCCCTCCTTCCCCGTGCACAAATTTCATGCACCAGGCCTCTAGTCTATATATAAAAGGCTAATATACTGTGTTCTTCCCATTGCCCAACCAGTCATTATGATGCACACTGAACACCAGGGGGCAGACGCTCAACACAGGAGCTGCCATGACACAAACTTGCCATTTACAGAGAAATAGCAGCATGGATCTGACACTTATAAAGCAACACTCGGCTTCTCCCAAGTGGGACACAGGCCTACCACCACCTCAGAGTGACAGCCCACCAAATCGCTGCCAACACACCATGGCCAGCCTGGAAGATCACTGTGGGTGTTGGGTAATGACGTCATGTAGCAACGCCCTGATTCTGTTCCTTAGCAACTAGCCTCCTTGCAGTTTCTTCAGCTCAGGAACATGACCTGCTTTATAGCCAGGTGGAAACATTTACACTTTAACCAAATGTCTGTGAAACATTTTCCCATGTCTCATCTCATTTGATTCTCATAGAAGCCCTGGAGTAGGTAGATAGGAGACTTGGTGGAATCCTATTTTCTTTTCATTAACTGGAAAACAGAGATTTAGGAAGCTTAGAAACTTGAATTGACTGAAAAGAAGTAATAAATGCTGGACCTTGAAAATGCCATCATTACTCGGTGCCCACAGCCACTGTTTTCGGGATGGGTTGGGCTGTGGGCCACATTTTGCGCCCTGGGGCCTTGGTAACATCTGCTTGTGATTTGATGGGCTGTTGCTCCAGGGTGGTGGCGGGGCCTATGTCCCACTTGGGGGAAGCCAAATGTTTCTTTGTGGGTGTCAGTCCAAGGTGCTATTTCTCTGTAAATGGCCCGTGCATGTCATGGCAGCTCCTGCATTGAGCGTCTGCGCCTGGTGGTCAGTGCACATCATAGTGACCAGTCAGACAGACACTTAGCATATTAGCCTTTTATATGTATGTATGTATGTGTGTATACACACACACACACACACACACACACACACATACACACACACACACACACATATATTGATTCTTCCATATATATATGAAAGAATACTAAAAAGTTTGTAATTAAAGGCAGTCCTCAGGTTACATCAGACTTGACTTATGGTCGTTTTGTGGTTACATTGCCATCTCCCATTTACAGTATTTATTAAAAAAAAAAAAAAAAGTTGCATCATTTCGATGTTTGTACATATGTACTTTATGTTTTTTATTATTTATTTACCACAAGTAAAGTTCAAGAATAGTTATCTTTCTTTTAAATTTTTTTTACTGTTTCACTTCATTACTGCTGTGTATGTGCTCCATGTGAGTGACATAGGTGCTTATGTAAGTTGGTTCCGACTTATGGTGAAAATCACCATAGGAACAGATATCCGACCTAACCTAAGGACTGCCTGTACTTCATACTTACTGCAAGCTAAAAGGAAGACAGCATTAAGAATAAAACATTAATAAAATGAAGAGTTACACATATTCCCTGGGCCAAACACTTACAAATTAATTCAACTAATAAAATAAAAGAATGGGTACTGATAAACTACTCCAATACATTTATATTCAATCTTGTTCAGATTCTTTGAAAGTCAAATCAAATTCTTATTTGACAAAGACACTTCTGACAAATTTTAAATGTTTAATAGGTGAGCAAATTAAATTATTTAGAATATAATTAAATATTTCAGAAACGCCTGTACAATATGGTATGTATACCTAATGAAATTCTTACAGTAAAAGCCAAATATAGATGTGGTCATGGAACCATCAACACATTTTGCTTCCATAATGTCATAAAATATTTAGAAATGGAAGAGATATTAAAAATTGTCCTAACCTACACTCCCATCTTTTATGCCTATACCTACAACCTCCATTTTATACAACTGTAGAAAATGACTTAAGTAAAATTACATGCCACTAATAGACTTATTATAAGAATGTACAACAAAATGACCACAAACTTCTTTCTCAATGCATAATATTAATGAACATGTAAAGAATTTTTTTAAACTCACTATTAGATGGACAATAAAACTAAAAATTAAATTTTAAATTCTAGAACTAAGGTTATGTAATAGAACATTACCTTAGTTTTTTCTCAACAAAAATATACAGGGAAATTATTTAGTCCAAAAGACTGTTTGGAATCATGTGTAATGATATATAAAGAATATATGTGTATCTGTGTATGTGCATTTTTTTTCTATTAGTAACCTTTCATCATATGGTTATTAGCAGGAACTGAAATTAAGACTTTCCCTTTGACATAAGACACACTTTGAAACTAACTTTCTAAAATTTTTCACCAAAACCATAATTATTACTCTTAAATTAACAGGTCTGGTCCAATATTTGAAAATCTCATCTTACCCTGTCTCTTCAATTTCTATCTAAAGTCATAATCTTTATTATCAAGTAATTTCATAGCAACCAGCTACAATGTCCCTCATAAAAATAAGCAGAAAGAATACATGTTATTAAAATCAAAGATTCTATTTTCATCTAAATGTCTCACAAGACAAAAACAACAAGAACAAACCAAGACCCAAAGTTTATGTTGCATTCAAAGCTAATATACTCCAAACTCCAAGCAGATGGCACAGCAATATGCCAATAAAAGCACATGTGGAAGAAAGCAAACTAACCCAAGAAGAGTAGCAAAAAATGTGTAAACTGATTGTTTTGAAAGGGTAGGAGGATCCACCACATGGGTCAGTCTTCATTCCTGGGTAATTTTTTTAAATAGCAAATAAGTATTTTTTAAGGAGGAAGCAGAAAGAGTAAAATAATGAATTCACTTGTGAATGTGGAAAGTACAAGGAGCACGGGACTAATATTTCTACCATCACCATAATCAGTGCTTGGTATCTCCTAAATTGGTTGTATCGTTAAAAACTGGAATAAAATTTGGGTTATGCTTTTTTTCAAGACAATGTCTTCAACATGAAAAAATTAAATCACTTAAAATGTCACATTTATCAGCTGCAATTTAGAATACCTGGATCCATTAAGGACAGTTCATTTTATTAATGAATACAGGAGAACAAACAGAGAATGTTCTTAAAATATCAATTTTATACTAGCTTTCATTTTCAAATGATTAAGATATTTACTTAACACACAGAAAGAAAGAAACTACTTCTTTCTCTTTTCACTAAACCTAAATGAGAACAGAACCAATCAATTGGAAAAATGAATTTCATCTTTCACTGTTTTAGTAGCTGAACTTTTGAAAAATTCTTTGTGCTGCCTAACACAACTTGATAGCTAAATTTACTTATTTTTAACATTTTATGTCTAATCAGATACTTTCAAGCCAGGCTGCATATGGACTTTATTATCACATCTGTGCCACATTTGTACTAAAGAGAGAATAGTGAAGATTGTTTCACTCTGGTTCTCATCATCAATATCATAATGTAGAGTTTAATTTAAAAAATGCAAATGTCTATACTAAATATAGCTTTTCTCCCTCATCTTTTGTATTTGATTTTAAATACGTAACAAGTTTATTCTTTTCCAAATTAAAACAAAAATCACTAAAACACTTGTGCACTTGGCTAAGAGTTTTTGGAGATCAGCCATTACAATTCACTTATTCCACAGATGAGAAAACTGAGAGCAAAAAAAATCACCTGCCTAAAGGGAGCAGAGCTTAAAATGGAATTCAGGTCACCAGCATCCTTTCCTACCACACTGACATGACAGTAGCATCTGAGCCACATCACATTCAAGGATCTAATGGTCAGAGGCCAAAATTAGCCTACCGCCCTTTTATGAAAACCAAAAATAATAGTCAGAACGAGGGCACCAGAATACATGAGCCTGCAGCCCAATCACCCATGAGAATCTGTCTATGGGTTTTGGGTACTTCTTCTTGTCAAAAGTGAATCAATGATCTTGTTATGAGTGTGTGTGTGGGGGGGGGGGAGGGAGAAGGAGGGGGGCCAACAGACTTCCTAGAAAAACCTGCAATGGTCTCCCTTCTTTGCCCTTCTAAATTGAATTTGATGTAGACAAATGATGCACAAATAAAATTAGAGCAGCTTCTCCCTCCTCCTGATGGATGTCAGCCTGTCTCATTCTCACTGTTGGCAGCCACCTGGTGGAGCTGTAATACATCATTTTTTAAGAGACAAACACTAGGTGACTAACTGCTGAGTCTATTATTACAAATTTAGTGTCACAGGTTAAAACAGTTAATTTGCAGCGTTTTTAGATGAGAAGTTAAATGTCGAACCAGATCCGGTAGTAAGGATAAACATTTCCTCCAGTTTTAAGTATAAATTTCTTTCCCTGTTTGAGAAACGGTTCCACATAGCCACTCCTATTTGCTTTCTCACTTCCCTGGTGAATTTATTTCCCCTGGGGTTCCACATGAAAAGACAGATTCAGAGAGCTAAGGAAGCTGTGTGCCAAGGAAACATTTCAGTTCAGTAATCCAACAACTCCCTCTTTGTCCCGCCCTGCTTTGCACTCTATTCTAATGCTCCTTCCCTCAGAGAAAGTGTGCATTTGGTAGGAAAGGAAGCA